AAGCTAATGTAATAGAGCTTTTCAAGAGGGTGTTCAAGGAAGGAACATACATCTACACATACACACAACTCAAGGAGGTGAGGACAGGAAAGGCGTGGAGAAGAGTCGCTGGTAACATTCCAAGCAGAGTTTCAGCCGAGTGTTGGGATATACACTGGCTTGTCCCCAGACCTGCCTTAATGGAGCTTTTTATTCCTATCGTGATAACATCTGTTAACAACTCATTTTTAATTCTCTCACAGTGATGTGTGTGTCTCCCTCCATTTCTATTTTCGCTTTGTTTCTGTTTAACTTTCTGTCTAGGAATTTATCTTACTTTGCTACCCAAAGTAGCCCATCTGCTGTCATCCTGAACCTGTGGGAAGCTCGTCATCAGCACGACGGTGACCTTGACTCCCTGGCCTGTGCCCTTGAAGAGATTGGGAGGACACACACGAAACTCTCAAACATCACAGAATCCCAGCTCGATGAAGCCGACTTCAGCTACAGCAGGCAAAACGGGCTCTAGTCCGCCTCCTCCCGAGAGACAGAGTGATGGCCAGCTTTGGGACACTTGCTTTACAAGGGAAAGAAAGAGGCAGCTTTCTGCCCGGCAGCACTTGGGGAATTCGGCCTTCACTTACAATCAGTGAGCACCCCTGATTGAAGCCACTGAGTTTCATATTGGTAAAATATGTTGACAGGGAAAAAAAGTACAGGTTCTCTTAAATATAAGGGGGGGGGTCCACTGTCTCCTCTGAATCCACACTCGGGTTAACACTTGATGAACTTCTCAGATTTGAAGTGACAAGGATAAAAGTGAGGGCCTATCTAGGTAGAAGGAACTGTGGGGAAAGATGAGCTACAGCAGAGCTGGGGAGGCAGAGATGGAGTAAGTGCATGTTTTAAAACAGGTTTTCAACGATGTGCCCCAAAGGGCCAGCTGATTCTGGTACTAGATTGTCAGAGTTTTCTGCCAACCGGCATCTGTGATGTCGGCGATCGTTGTAAACTGGCCTTTAGAAGTGGAGCTGGGTTGCCAGCCCGTTTTAGGACTTTGACACCGTCGAGGAGGGCGTGTAGTATGTAGCATCCGAGTGCGCCACACCAGCACCACTTCCCTGTCCGTCCTAGCCACTGAATGGGAACAAGACCGAGAGGTAAGACAGGTCACAACCTAGTTCTTGCAGCATACCCCACCCTCCATTTCTCCAAGGACAAATCTGTCCACGTTCTTCCTTCCCTGTCCTTACCCACTACAGTAGGGGAGAGATTTCAAGGAGCATCGACTTTTCAATATGGAAATGTATTTTTTCCTAACTCAACAAAGCAGGGCCATCCCTAGTCCCAGTTAAGCCACTCAAATCGCAAAAGCTACTAGAACACAGCTTATTACATAGATTTGGAGGCAATAGAGGTCAAATCAGGTCCAAGGAGACATATGAACTGCAGATGCCACAGGCCTCAAATAAGCTGAAACCCTAGGACACACGTGTTGATTTCGTTCCCCAACACTGTCGCTGTGAAGGGATGAGGGGCCTTACTGTCCTTCACAACCTCCGTTCTCAAATTTCTGGCCTTCTCATACTATGTTATCTCACAATCTCTCCGGAGGGCTACAGGTCAGCCTCCTTTTGCCCCTTGGGAAGTTAGCAGACGGTCTTTGCTGTAAATGGTATCCGAGAACACAGACCTGGGAAATACCTCTACCAGCGTGTCCCAGAAACCACATGCATTGTTCAGGGAGCCTTCAGCTCTGGTAACTCACCTTCACCAAGTATGCTTCCTTTACAGGACCATTAACAAGACCATTAACATACGGCTTTATGTTTTAAATGAGAGGCAGTGATGTGGAGACTGAAAACCACAGGTAATACATGACCCCCATCTTAACATTTACCCCGTCTTTTGTCACATTTAATCTCTTTTGACAAAATGTCCTAGTAGACTAAAGATGAACAGATTTCCTCCAGCTCATCTTCAAAATTAGCTGTCCAGCACTGGGACAACCAAAGTCAAGGACCTAGATGAACCACAGGGCTGCTCAGCGACGTAGAGTCTGGCTAC